TTTCCCAGATATCCAATCCCTAAGAACTTATGCTGCCACCAAACCATCTCTACATGAAACACTTAAGAAAGTACTAAACACAGAAGAAAAGGAAAAAAGAACAACAACAACAATGAAACAAAAAGCTGGTTCTTCGAAAGAATAAACAAGATCGATGACCCCCTAGCTAGACTGACCAAGAAAAAACGAGAAAAAAACCAAATAAGCACAATCAGAAACACAAAAGATGAAGTCACATCTGACCCTGAAGAAATACAAAAGATCATTAGAGACTACTACATATACTTGTATGGAAACAAACTTGAAAATCTTAAGGAAATGGAGGATTTTCTGACATCACACAACCTACCTAAGTTGGAACAAGAAGAAATTGAGACCCTAAATAAACCAATAACAATCAAGGAAATCGACTACATAATAAGAAAACTTCCTACAAAAAAAAGCCCTGGACCAGATGGCTTTCCAGCAGAATTCTACAAGACATTTAAGGAGGAGCTGATTCCAATCCTACTGAAGGTATTCCAGGCGATTGAAAAAGATGGAATGCTCCCCAAATCATTTTATGAAGCCAACATCACATTGATACCCAAGCCAGGTAAAGATCCAGCAAAGAAAGAGAACTACAGGCCAATATCTTTGATGAACATAGATGCTAAAATTCTCAACAAGATCCTAGCAAACCGGATTCAGCAATACATCTCAAAAATCATCCATCATGACCAAGTAGGCTTCATTCCTGGGATGCAAGGCTGGTTCAACATTTGTAAAACCATAAATATTATTAAATACATCAACAGATGTCAAAACAAAAACCACATGATTATATCATTAGATGCAGAAAAAGCTTTTGATAAAATCCAGCACCCCTTCTTGATAAAAACCCTTGAGCATCTAGGCATACGGGGAACATACCTCAAAATAGTAAAAGCCATCTACAGAAACCCACAGTGAGCATACTCCTAAATGGACAAAAATTAGAACCATTTCCCCTGAAAACTGGAACAAGACAAGGATGCCCACTCTCACCCCTCATGTTCAACATAGTATTGGAAGTCCTGGCTCGAGCAATCAGAGAAGAAAAGGCAATCAGGGGTATCCAAATAGAAAAAGAGGAAGTCAAGTTATCTCTCTTTGCAGACGACACGATTGTATACCTTGAAACCCGAGAGAATCTGTCAAAACCTCCTTACACTGACAAAGACCTTTGGCAAAGTCTCAGGATACAAAATAAATGTACAAAAGACAATCGCATTTCTCTACACCCATAATAAACAAACAAAACCCAAATAAAAAACACAATTCCATTCACAATAGCCACAAAAAAATTGAAACACCTTG